CACGAAAATATGACTTTTTATTTCAATAAGTGTTCAAAATGTTGCCCGTTATGGTTTGCCAAATCTACAATTTGTTTATAATTTAAAACGGAAATTACCAACATAAACAGCAATTCGGAAGGTTAGACATGGCAACAACCCGAATTTTTTCCGCATTCTTTTCATCAACATAGATATCCTGGGCTAACTGTATTTATTGTTATACTTGTTAAGTTATTTGTTGCTAAGGGAAAGAAAAAATTTAATTTGCTGCCTGTTACCTTTGTGATAATCTTGGGATAGTGAAAATTAATTTATTCCCCCATAACTGTTTTGAACCTTTCCATCGTCCAGTTCTGATGGTCTATTTTCAAAATTTTGGACTTTGATGGTTGTATGCATAGTGGAATGCCCATGGTTGTATGTCTTATCCACTGAATTTGATATATGATTGTCATTTCGTGATACCGAGTGATCCTGATATAGAATGGATGAGGAATGGATAAATGGCATGTGGTATAAATGGAGCAAGTCATATATACGATTGTGTTGACTGTTTGAACCACATCCAGTGTGACAGTGACGTTGAATACCACTTTTCACCGGATTTAGTAAGAACCTTTCCACCGTTTCATTCCCTTAGTCATATTACACAAAACACACAGCTCGGAAGAAAAGTGGATTAATCACATATGTGTATGGTGGTGGGTGTTTCGTCTAGAGTTGTGTACAAACTAGATTGTGTTTACTTTCCTACTCGACCAAATACTGTGGTGCTTCAAAGCTACGATTGCATTTTCTATTCTATAGAGAAAAATAAATACGAAACGAAAACTGTTTCTGTGAAAAACAAAAATAAGTGATGAATCTCATATATGTATTGAGATCATAGGTAATTCTCGTTTTAAAGTCAAACCAAGCGTCACTGCAAACAATATTAAGTACCGTTAAATATTTAAAATGTTTATTCAATACTCAGGCTCATCAAATATACATAAAAAGAGGCATGGTTACCCTGATCATAAAAGAGTATGTTTTAGTGGTTTTATTTATGAAATACTGTAGTAGTTGGATCTTACAGACATAATCTGCAACCAGCAGAGCAGTTCGTTGCAACTGGTTGCCTATATTCAGTTTTGTTACTTCTCTGTGATTGCACTGTAATTTGAGGTTGCATACACTTTATCATTTTGCCTTATTTATTGATATTTAGCACCAACAAAGAAAAATCTTAAACTGTTACAGCCTACTGTGAAATGAAAGTTTGAATACTCCCTTGGATGTTCCTCAAGAAAGCGTCATGGTTTCACTTTTTCAAAGAGAGATCCATTTTTCCCAAGGAAGCCTGCAGGAATGACTATAACCCTGACTCTAAGGGTCCGCTTTAGATGAGAAGGGCGGTGTAGGGCACTTTACTAAAAATTTGCTATCATTGAGGTACTTCAATGTACATACAGAAACATTGATTGCAGCAGTTTTTGGTTCAAGCTTCCTAATCAAGGTGCTGGTACATCGTACACAACTCGAAGGTGTGATCTTTATTAATATACCATAGTTACCATTAGTACATGTACTACATATAATATGTAATGTATCTCCAACGTCCACATAGAAGAACTCATGGCAAAAGATAGAGACAGAGAGAGTGCATACGAGCAGGAACGAAAAGAGAAAATACCTCGGAGGTTTCCTCGATATACGTAATGTTAGTTTTGACTCCGAGCGGCCACTTAACGTGGATCTGGTCCTTGTTAAGCTGCAGCAGGAACACCACTAACACGAACAGAGCGTTAAACATTAGGAACGCGAACACTGATTTGTTGCGGAGTTCGATTAGGTCTTTCGCTATCCTATCCTGGAATCCAAACAGAAATGCGGGGAGATTAAAGACCGATTCTAGCACAGTTTTTACCAGGGAGGAGGGTGTATCTTAATATGGAGGAAGCACTGTTTGGAGACCTAATATCTGGATGATATCTTTTCTTGCAACCACTTCCATGTTCACACACACTTGTCTCGTCTTCATACTGTCCACAACCCTTCACTGACACTGAATGAAAAAAGAGTTTTGGAATTTGATGTTTGGTTGAATTCATGCAAATATATCTACAGGGTGTGGCATAAAGAGTGTATAACCTTTAACCTGCAAATGAATATTAAAAAAATTGAAAATTGTGTCTAGTGAAAGTTGCACGGTTTTCAATTTTCGTGATTTTTTTCAAATTTCGAGGAAATGGACACCTTCACTCACTCATATGTTTTAAGTCTCGTGATAACACATGAAAGGTTTTTCTCATTCTTTTTTCAGCATAGTATTTTGGATACATGTGTCATAAATATAAATTGCCATTTTTGTGCTACAATATGATTTTTTCTTTAGGTTTGGCTACGTGAGGTGTCAATAATATTGCGGTAATCTAGCGAAACAAGACGTGAATAATTTGCCTAATTCATTGAGATTGCAAAATGATACAATACACCGTTTTCTGCTGTCAATTCAAATAATACCTACTCCTATTAAGGTTGGCTAAGGCCCGTATCGTCAGTCGTCCCTACAATTGTAGGGCGCGTTTATGGCCTCCTTGAATGTCATACTCCTTTCTCTCCTTCAAAAATTTCTGGATTACTCTTGTCCCGTGTCAGCGTCAGCGCTCTCCTATTGTGAAGATATGTTTTCTTTTAAAATTGTAGGAAATTTCAGGCTGATAAAACATGATATAACTCAAAAGCAAGCACAATTTGATGCAAATAGATGTTTGTTACATAACCTCAAAAGAGCGCAGACACGGAGAAGTAGAAAACTATGACAATCAAGGAGGCCATAAAGGCGCCCTACAATAATTGTAGGGACGACTGACGATATGGGCCTAAGACTCCTATTTCTTCAAATACAACTTCTACTTGAATGACGAATATGGAGAAATCACATTTGCCTAGCTACTCGTTTGTTTTTGTTTGATGTCATAGTGACAGATCAAGTGTCAACACTCATTTATAAGAAGATGCAGTTCATGTATCAGAGTTCGTGGCGGTCATTTTGAGCACTTAGTATAACCTCTAATAATATGTTTATATCTAGCGAGTTTTCTGTTCTCTTCTCTTATTTTAATTAATTCTTACACCATGAAGTTAGTATCTTGTGTTAAATTCATATCCATCTGGTAGATTTAAAATGCAATATTACTAATACGTTTTGTAAACGTTGTAATAAATTTGAATATTTTGTGATCCTTTTTCTAATTTTGAAACGCGATGATTTATTGATTTATTATGATTTATTATGATTTATTATGATTTATTATGATTTATTATGATTTATTATGATTTATTATGATTTATGATTATTATGATTTATTATGATTTAATTTTTGATTTATTATGATTTATTATGATTATGATTTATTATGATTTATTATGATTTATTATGATTTATTATGATTATATATTATTATTTTATATCATTTTATCATTTATTATCATTTTATTATTTTTATTTGATTTATATGATTTCTTGATTTTTCGATTTATGATTTCTTAGTGCTTTATGATTTTTATTAATGATTTCTTCTGCTTTATTCTGATTTCTTCTGCTTTCTGATGCTTTCTTCTGCTGTCTTCTGCTTTATTCTTTTCTCTGCTTTCTTCTGCTTTTCTTTCGTCTGCTTTCTGCGCTTCTTCTGGCTTTATTCTCCGCTATCTCCGGCGTCTCCTTTGCCTGCCCGCCGCCCCGTGTCCTGTCCCTTTGCCTTCTCCCTGCATTCGGCCCCTTCTTCCGCCTTGTTTCCCTCGTTTCTTCCCCCTCTTTGCACCCGGGTCCCCCCCGCGGACCAAACTTGTTTCCCATTTTGCCTGGCCCTGTATCCCGGCCTACTTCTATTCAAGCCTGAGAATCTTCATGTTTTATCACTAGCCTGCGTGTAGGAACCATTTCCTAAAAATGAAAAACGTTCACTTGAAACCGTGCAACTTTACTAGACACAATTTAAATTTTTGGATCGTTATGATGTCCTCTAACGTAGGTTTAAAGGTTATCCACTCTTTACGCCACACCCTGTATAGCTTTAACTACACATTTCTATGAAACATAATGATATAGACCTGAGCTACCTGAATTGTGTTTATGCCCCGTTAGATCTACTTTTAAAATGCATACAAGATTCAGTTTAACATTTTCTAGTAACTTGAAAGAGGTTGCTCAGGCAGGATCGACATTATCAAAATTTAATGCAAACAACGGCAGACGCTCAGCTGTCACAGGACTCCGTTTTAGAGCCGCAATATGTTTTTCACAGGATTAAGTTTTTTTATACTACCCAGTTTGACAATGTTGGCTTTGTACCATGTTGGTGTCATTTTCTAAGTCCATACACCAACTTGACTATCAAAAAATCGGCACAATTTAGGAAAAATGTAATAACCTGTTTTACAGCGGAATTATATTATTGAGGGTATATGAAAAAGCCTCTCATCAAGAGATACAACAAATTTTGCTGGATAATTTTTTATTAATCAAAATGTGTAAAACTGAAGCTGTAGGGGGATGCAAATACGTTTAAAATGAGATCTTACATGGCCAATTTGATACATATAACGGTTCATTTGTTGTGATACGAGGGATGTCTTTTAAGTTTTGCATATAGAAACATAGTAGGCCGCGCGGATCGAACGTCAGTACTGAATCTTAACCTCACTCTTTAGTATACTTAAATTCAAAGTTTCACAACAATACGTGCAGTGTTCTCACTACAGTGAATTCTTGAGTGTCACCAAGTCATTAGAAAAATGGAACTCAACCGAGAACATTTTCGCGCCATAATTTATTACAACTTTCAGAGACAATTATCGCAACAAGAATGCCTTGCTGAGTTACTGTCTGTTTCCTTTACTTTCCCGAAAATTAAAAACAGACTGCGTGGTCAAAGGTCCAGAAGCATTTGACGCATTAAAAATGCCGTTTTGGATCTGCCAGCAAAAAACAATAAAGCCATTTAAAACTACCTACCGTGTTGTTTTATTTCCATATGCAAAACTTAAAAGACATCCCTCGTATCTCAAATAAAATCCGTATAAAACTACTACTTGAAAATATGCTTGTTTTAGAAAATGTTGATACTGAAAATTGTGTACAGAATCTCACCTTAATTCAAGACCAATGCTTATACAATCTTTTCATGTATGTTATTTGGATGTATTTGCTACTCCAATTGCGACTGTTTTGAAACGCTCTTTATAATAAAGTATGAACGAATGTCTATTTTACTTCTCTCGGCAATGCACATGTGTATTGTTATCGCGAAAAATGTTCAGATGTCTAGCAGTTGGTAAACTTAGCGGGCCAGTACTCAAACGACAAACTTGTTTTGTTATTTCCAAAACCAAACGTTTTCTCCATCCACTCTCACACCCACAAGCACACTTAGCAGCGAAAGCGAGATAGAACGACGCGACGATGTCGAATGTCGTTGCAAAAGCTGCTCCTCTCGGTTACCTCCTGGGTACTCTCGTCATAGGTGATGTTCGTCTTCACGCCGAATGGCCATTTCACGTGCAAGTAGTCCTTCTTTAGGGTCAGCAGGAAGACGATCAGTACGAAAAGGGCGTTCATCATGAAGAACGCGAACACGGATTGGTCCCTCAGTTCCTTCAGGTCGGATGCTATACGTGCCTAAAAGGGGGAGGGACGAAGGAGGGCATTGTGGGTTAGATACGATTCAGATTAAAATATTGCTCTGATACTGTCATTGTTGTATTTCGATAATCAATATTGCTTTCAGGATTGCAGGTGACATCCATTTTTTTCAAACTTCATTATTAGAAATGTTGTCGCATTACATGTCGAACCGTTTGGAACCGACTGAGTATGCGCAGTAGAGAGTTTCCGGCATGCGAGATCGCACAAGATCTTGTTTTGTTATGGGACTGTGGTTGGTGAGTTTGCGACGTACTGTATTGTCTAGTCTACTAAAAATACTAGTTAAAGAACTCACCTTTATCACGAGAATTTTCAAAGAACTAGATCATTTTAATTAATATCGCTGGACGGCAAACGTATATAAGACAGTGACACATCCCTGGAAATATTGGTGAGACGAACAGCACAATCTGCACCATTTTCAAGCATTTTAAATTTACTACCAAAGGAAACTGTCAAGCTGTGTCAACTTCAGGACCAATAAAAGTAATATTTCAACTGTGGCTTCACGCTATACTGAGTGTTGCTGCTGCTGAGTTGATATATATGCATGATGCCGAAGAAAAAAGTTAAAAACCAGATCTCAACGGAAAAATCAGATACAATGGAAGTTTACATTGATGGAAACTTGGACACTCAGAAGATTCTAGAAGAAAATAAACACTTAAAACAGATATTAGAAGAAAAGGATAAACTAATACTACAGTTGAGCAATGAAAATGGAAGACTACAAGAACAGTACAATTTAGCGACATCAGCCATACACGAAAAAGGTACCGTTGAAACAATGATAAATAAAATAAATCAAAGATTGACTGAAATTGAGAAAATTAAAGAGAAATCATATGCCCAAGTACTAAAGCGAGATACTCCAACAATCAAGAAAGACCCAATGAAGAACATAATTGTCACACCAAATGGTATCCAAACATCTGAACAAACGAGAAAAGACCTTAACAAAAAAATTAGCCTTACGGATTTGAAAATACAAATAGAAAATATACGAAATTCTAAAAATGGAGGAATTATAATTAAACTGGCTGAGGAACACCACAACACACTCAAAACTGAATTCGAAAGAAATTAGGAGATGAATACAAACACAGAACCTACAATGTTTAGACCGAAGATCAAAATTGTCAATTATAGATGCACGGAGAAACCACATGAAGAAGACATAGAATTAGATCTTATCCAACAAAATCATTTTATTGAAAAAGATGACATCAAAATCAAATATGTAAAGTACTCCCATCGAAAAAATGTTACACATTATTTGCAGACATTTCTGGCAAATTATTCAGGACAATATTTGAAGATAACAATGGAAAAATTCTTCTTGGATGGCAATGTTTACCAGTGTATGATAATAACGAAATAACGCAATGCAAGAAGTGTCTTCGCTTCAATCACACCGAGAAAAAATGCCGCAATAACAAGACCTGTACCAACTGCAGCAAAGAGGATGTACACGATACTGACTGTTGTAAGCATGAACCGGTTGTATGTTGTAATTGCAAATTTTCAAACTATAGATATAACAAAAATTATAGTACCAACCACTCACCATTAGATAAAAAATGTCCAACTTTTCTATATATCAACAGCAGTACAACTTGAAAATCCTTTTTAAGAAAGAAGAAACTTTAGCCAACATTTTAGAATATTGCATCATTCATGACACACGACTATGTAAATAACTTCCAAATTCAACGTATTAGTACTAATACTGCTCATGATACTAGCGAGCTAGATTCTTTTTTACAAAATCCTGAAATATCTGTTAGAATTTATCATATGAACATCAGAAGTATAAAAACATAACTTTGACTACTTTAAATTAATTTGAAAAGAATACAAAGTGATATAGATATAATCATTCTATCCGAAACATGGCAAGTGGGCGATGTGACTCTGTTTCATTTAGAAGGGTACGATACATTGTATAATTTTGGTAACCATAATCAAAACGATGGAGTGATGGTGTATGTACGAAACAATCTGCCTTATAAACATACCATATTTACAATCAACAATGAACTAAAAGGTATCAATCTAACAATGCAAATTGAAAATCGTAGAGTCAAAATTACTTGTGTTTACCGACCACCATCTTCAGATCCTCATACATTTATAAGAGACATAGATGAACTATTAAAAACAATGAAAACAATCACCTTCATAATCAAATATTTATAGGCGACATCAATATAAACATTTTAGAGGAAATTCTATGGTGAAAGAATATTTAAACATTTTATCAAGTAATGGCTTTTTATCATACATAAATAAAGTAACACGACCCACCAGTAAAACCTGCATTGATCACTTGCTTTATAAAGGATATTTCCAATATTTTTTCTTACATACCTATTATCTATGAAACCGATATTACAGATCATTATTCCACTGTATTATTGATATCTTCACAAAATAAAAACCAGAACTGCCCAAGGACAAAAAATG